GGCAAGGCTGTGTGTGTCCAGCCTCCCACCCCCTTTACCAGCCTGGGGAGCGTTTGTTACTGGCTTCTCACTTTCCAGTTGAAATACAGTGGTAGAACTGATGGGTTAAGGTTAAGCGCTGTGTCCTGTAAGCTCGAGTCACAGTAATGAAAACAATAAATTCTTTATATTGCACTTAAATGGAGAAGGTTCTTAAAAGCAGTATTTGTTTAAAGTCTCTTTATCTGAGGAGGCACAGTGGCATATCGGCTAAGCAGCAGATTGAGAAAAACCGGGGCCACATTTTGATCCCAACTCTACTACTAAAATGGTTCTTGTGTCCTTGGGTAAGTCACTTAACCTTACTTCTCAGCATTCTTAAAGCAGCCTCCCAGGTTTTTATGAAGAGCGTTGAACAAATTTGTTTTTAACAAATAAGAGCTGACACCTGGAAGTGAGATGGAACCCCTGCTGGATATTTATACAAGAAGGAAGGTTAAAGGTTGTTTTTAACTACGTAGAATTTCTTCTTTTTCTTCTGACCTTTTAGTCCAAATAAGTAGTTTGCTTCCTGGAAATCTACTAGTTAATGGAAGTTCTTAGTTGGTAAATCATTTTAAATTGGCAATTGCTCTGGCATACTGAGCTTGGGAGAGCCTTTGTTCCCATTCTTTCGAGGAGAAATCAGCTGTGGTCTCTGACCTATTTATTTAGAGGTAAACTTAATCTTGCCAAGCATAAAAAAGATTGGAAAGCCACACAGTCACTAGTCTGTGCCATGGTGGGGCACATCCTTACTCATCTGGAAAGCTTTTTTCTTCTCTCGGTTTTCTTTAGTGCTCTTTCCTTAGCTAATATATTAGTTATAGTTGTACTTTGCACAGGCACTAATTAGAGAGCCATCAACATTGGGGTCCAGAGGCTTACTGACAATGCAACTGTCATCGTGGTGTCTTAATTGGTTGAGTATAATTGTCATTAAGCAGCAATAAAGACATCTGGATCTCTGGAGAAGAATCAGCCCTTTTTGCTACCTCCATTCGGTATCTGTTTTTGCTTATCCTGGCCAGCATCATTAAGGGCTGTTAGATCCCGTTTAGGGTTTGGTCCAGGTCCTTCTGCCCCAGCCATGCTCCATAGTTGTGAAGGTACCTGCTTCTTCAGTGTGAATCCGCAAGCATGAAGCCTGACTCCTTTTGCTATAGTGTGAGGCTTGAGAGCCTGCTGCTGCCGAGTCACGGTGAACACCTGAATTATGGAGTTTGTTCTGTGTTCCCTTCAACAGAGCAGACAGAGAGTCCTTGTATTTTACCGCTGAGTTTTTTTTTTTCCTAGTACTGTACTAGGGATTAAGCCCAGGGCCTTCACACTGAGCTGTGTGACTCTTAGGTTCTTTGGCCTTAAAGAATCGAGTGAATTTAAATGGATATCTGGAAAATTTCATGTTTAACAAAACAATTGGGTTTATCTTAAGTCATAGATCGATAATTATTTTTTAGTGGTGGGTGTGGAACTGAGGACCTTGTACCTTACTAGGCAAACCTACCACTGAGGTATCCCGACCCTCGAGCCGTATTATTTGGAAATAGATGCAGGAAGTCTAACGCATATCAATGTGTGCATTTGGGGTATTTAATCATTAGCTGCAGAAGACAGGCCCTGGAAACAAACAGAAGCGCTTTTCCAGCCTGTCAGTTTGTTGTCTGTGGACAACCCTTTCCAGTCACTGTGTTTTAGTAATGACTGATGGAGGCCGTGGCACTGTGATGGGACTTCACAGTCAGGTGGAGGAGACGTGAGCTGTCTATCTGGAATGTGGTAACATATGCTGTTTCTTCAGATATGGGCCATAGAAGAGTGTGAGAGGGATTCACGACGGAGAGAAGGGCCTGGGTTAGACCTTGGGCTGGTTGGATTGGACTAGGTCAGTGGTCCTCAGTCGGCTGCACATGGGACACATGGGAACCACTCATGATGGTCCCATTCTTTTTTTTTTTTTTGTCTTTTTCTTTTTTTTATCGGTACCGGGGATCGACTGCCTGCTTGCAAGGCAGGCGCTTATGCCTATGCCGCTGAGCTAAATTCCCAGCCCCCGATGGTCCCATTCTTAATCAGATTTAGCTGTCTTGGGTGTACTCGGATACTGCTGACTCTATGTGCCATCAAGGTGAGCCCCCAAGGTTGGGTTGTGAGGCAGGAAAGTATTCCCGGCAGATGGACAGTGGAGCTGACAATCAGAGACAGGAGTGTTTGGCAGCTGGACTGGAGGCCGCCTTGTGTGAGCAGAGTAAACATTGTGCCGGAGAGAAGGGTGAGAGCTGGTTTGTGAAGGGTTTGCAGTAGGCCCTGTCATCAGAGCTTCATTCAGTGAGGTTTGTAGAGAAGAGACTCAACAGAGGGCTTTTTAGTGTCAGGTACTCTTCCATTTTGACTCTTACAGTCCTTAGATACACAGCCATGTGCAAGACCTACCCTTGACCCCAACTGCTTGTAGGAGAGTACAGAGAGGAAAGTAGTCATCACATAATTGCTCAAAGAGAAACCTCGGGCTGCAAGCAAGGTAGCTCACAGTTGGTATACGGTCTAGCACAGAGGTGAGGGAGAAAGACAGTGGTTCCTGAAGAATGACTCACAAACTCAGGGTTTTGGAAGGCCGGGCAGGATGTGTGCAGGGTTCATTGCAGGTGGAGCGTGCTCAGAAGCAGGAGGGCTCCTGTAATAGGAATGTTGAGGGATGTAGACTGAGGCAGGATCTGTGGGGATGAGAAAGATAGAAGAGCTTGGTGATAATGGATGGGGGCAAAGAAGGTATGGAAGGGGCTCTTCTGTTTTTGTACCAGTACCTGGAACTGATGGTACCTCTGAGAAAAGTAGGGAATTCAGGAACAAACACAGGCAGCAAGCTGAAACCTGTGGAGGTGTACATGTGTTTATTTTAGGGACGTGGAGCTGCAGTGTGATTGGGACAGCTCCTTTAGGGAACACAAGACTCGTTGCTCACCTTTTAGATACTGCCATGTTCATGACTGGTGTGTAGTTCATACCTCACTGCTGGGCAGCTCTGAACCACTGATGGCTCATGCACAACTGTCCCATGCCACCCAAGCCAGTGGGAACGTGTTAATAGAGCACTGGTGGCTGGGTCTCCGCCCTCCTGTTTACCGTTCCCCTTAAAGAGTACCTCAGAGTTCACCTCTGTCTGGTTTAGAAGATAAAGCATTTTTCCTGTTTTGTGGTTTTTTGTTGCTTGAACTCAGAGCCCTTGGTGTAAAGGGATCTTGGGATGCCAAAATCCTGATCTTTACACTCCTTGCAGTATGATCCCCAGGGGGCAGCACCCGAGCAACAGAAAGACCATGGGTGTGGAGTAATGCATAGCCAGTAAGAAATAGAACACCATGTCCTGGCTGTGTCCTTTTTTTTCTCACAACCTTTAGCTCTGTCCTGTCCTACATTCCCTCTTTTCCTTTCTTTCGCCTACCTTTCTGTGTATTTCTGAAAGCCAATACTGTCTTTTTCAACTTAATTTTCTGAGTAAACGGGTTCCTTTCATGTAGAATTTAACCATGCAAATCTAGTCACACCATCTAGGAATTCAAACATTCATTGTTGCTGTCGCTAAGCAAGTGGTTTTATTCCAGAGGACATTCTGCATCATTTTCGGCTGGTGAAATTGGGCCTAATTGATTTGGTGCAATAGGCTAGGGTATGTGTTCTTGTAGAGGTTTCCATTTTTGCTAAGAAGGGTGATTCAGATCCCTGCCCGCACAGCCTGGAAGCCAGGGTCATATCAACATCTGCCCTTGCCTGTGAATTACCAGGCTTAAAGACACTTGAGTGGTCAGACAGAGGGGCAACAGTACACAGGTATACTGCATGGTTCTCCTGGTAACTGTGTACTGTGTGCCCTCTGGACCTCATCCTGAGAGTCTGTGACAGGATGGCCTGTGGATGATATAGTGCATATATTACTGGAAGTTATCATTTGGGGGGAATGCTACTATAGCTAAGAAATGAAGCACCCCTGAATCAGAACATTTTTAGATGATCTGTTAGGGAATCTCACTTGAGATTGACCTCCTTCTTACAGGTGCTTCATAGATGAATTATGTTGTAGATTTCAGTGATTATGTAGATCTCAGACCTTCTCTTGCTCACTTGTATAATGACACACTAAACAATCCATGGCTAGGACCTCAGGAAGGCTGTGAACCTCCTCAGGATCATCTGCCATTCCTTGTAATATGGACTCATCTCCAGAACCCACTTCCCCCACGTTGTTTTACACAGGGAAATCAATCCTTTGTAGCAGACATAAGGAACTTAGCTTAAGTACCTGAGTGGCAGGCAGCACCTACCTCGTCATCTGACTGTCCTGTTGGCCTGGCAGCTTCGCCTGGCTTTGACGGAGAGTCTTTTGTGGAGTGGCAGAAATAGAGCAGAATGAGTACTCCTGTTTTCTATGTGGGTAGAACCAGAGTTCCCTGCATTTCGGCAAGAGCGTTGTCTGGCTGTTAAATGCAAGATTTAATTGTTTCAGCAAATCAATTAGTCTTTAGGGACTTTAATCAGTCAAATCTGTTACATGGATGAGATATGAGAAAGCTTGTGCCTATATATTTAGTTCTCAGGCTCCGAACAGCATCTCTGTCTGTCTTCTGTGTGGCATTTGTGTATGAATGCTGTTGCTTATACACATTTCTGTAAGTGATCATCGTTAGTGAGAGAATTTAAGGTAACAGATTAGTTTTAACAGTGTAAAGGGAAGAGCAAGGAGATTTTGATACTTAATTTCTTCTTATAATTTTCTTGTTTGAAATTGTCACCATCGTGCTGTGAGAATGTGAACCATGTTCAGAGCCTTCTGTTATCCAGTTGACATTTTCCTCTTTTGGAGTCACTCATCCAAACAATGCCACAAGGATGGTTCCTCCCCAAGATCTCACTCCTCTGTTGTTTTAGGGTCCTCCTCATTTTCTCTTCAATCCCTTTTTGGATCCAAGTGTGTCCTTCTTTTCCAGATATACATCAGGGGACGTGCGAGTGTGGGACACCCGCACCTGGGACTATGTGGCCCCCTTCCTGGAAACTGAGTATGAGGAGGACGAGCCTGGAATGCAGCCATACGTCTCCTTTGTGAGGATAAACAGCTCGCTGGCGGTAGCAGCTTATGAGGATGGTAAGTAACTGCAGCCCTCCTCCCTATTAAGAAAAAAAAGCTTTACAAAAATTAAGCAGCTGTGCCCTGCTCTCCCCCGTAATCCCTCCATACGTACACGTGGGCACACACACATGTTCACACACATACAGTCACTCCTGCCTTTATGTGAAGAAGTTGGCCAATAACCCTCAGTGCATTAGTAGGCATTGGAACACAGTACCCATTAAAACTGGTATTTAATTCCTACTGGAACTGTCAAGCTGGGTGTTAGTGCCAGACACGACAAGGCTGGCCAAACCATCTTAAGCAAATAACTTGTTTGGTATAAAATATTAAATATACTTGGCCTAATTTTCCTTTAGCCTCTGTCCCAAAAGAATAGTGAAAATGGGATAGATGTAGATAATTTGTTGACTAAAGTAGATAGAAAAATGAAAGTCAGTGCCTAGCCCTTAAATATCATATAAAATGTTTAGTGGCAGTATGTTATCTCTGTGGCAATCAGAGGATTCCTTCTGACTGTGAGCATCTGCAGGTTTACAAAACTAAGTAAGAATAGTCTAGTTCGTTTCACAGAGTTAATGAGACAGATGACAGTTTGCAGCCAATAGAAATAATAATTTCGATGGCCACGCTGCCCTGTATGCCTACCTGTCATGCTGCTAACTTCTGTTGTGTTGGGAAGTGTGAGTCTCCAAAAGCTGTGTTGCCTCACTTGCCTGAGCAGTCACACCACAGTGCATTCCAGAGTATTAGTGTTCATGTCATGGCACAGGTGCCATGCGGCCAGGTAGCAGTTGGCTCGGTGGGACAAACCTGAAGTGAAATAGCTAATGGGGAATCTTACACCAGTTAAAAATAAAAGTTAGAGCTGAAATTGTGAATGGTTTTATTTCATTACTTTAGCAGCATGACCTCTGTTCTCTTGGTTTGGTGTTGGGCACCATTCATATTTACTGTCCTTCAGCCTATAGAATCAAGTTGCTTCTGTGGTGTAGTTATTCCTGTTTCATATATGATTTAAGATCCTGGATAACTAGCATAGGAGCAACCTGAACACGTTTGCTGCTTTCCCCAGAACACTGTGTAAAAGTTATATTACTCTTGAGTCGGAATCATACAGTTTTAGAATTATCTAATAGCTTCCTCGTCTCATACACACATGTAAATATGCACATACATTTTCTTCTGCCAGTGGGGAGGCTGAGGTAAAAAGCCAGCTAAATAATTTGTTTGAGGTTGTGGTTAGTAGTGAATTCCAAACTGACTGGGTATCTTAGCCTCTGCTACAGCTGCAGTGCTGTTCTTGTAATACCAAGAGACTCTCGTAGAAATGTACCTGATTGGTTTGTGACCCACATTTAGTGCTAGGGATTAAACCAGGGCATAGTACAAGGTAAACATTCACTGTACAACTGTGCTACACTTTCACCTCTAGTTTTATGTTACTGGTTAGAATTGTCTTTGCTTATTTCATCCCTATTGTTACACAGAAATATCAGCAACAATGTAGATATATGAAAGAATATTTTCTTTGGTAAGGAGTTGCAAAATGATTGTCATAATTTAAATATTTTGATATAAAAATTGCCATAGTTAAAATTCAGACAGCCAAAATGGAAAAGAAGGTGTCAAAGAAGAAGTTGAAGTGTTTGCTTCCTGTTCCCCCACTCGGAGGGCCTTTCCCAACTTAGACAGTCTGCTCGTCTTTGTACGGTACTTTCCTATACTTTGCTTTTCTCACCTGCTGACACATTGTCGTGCTTTCTGTTTATACTTATTCTTTTCAATGTTTAGACAGTATTGCATTTTACACGTTGGTACACATTTGACCTACTTGTATTTGCTACTGAAGCAGTGTTACAAGCATTATCCTTGAATGAATGTCATAATAAACTTGTGCACCTACGTATGGAGTGAATTATTGGTTGCTGAATGTGGATGGTATGGATGTTTGTTTGGATAAATACTGTGAAACTGACCTTAGGAGAATTTAGCAGTTCATAGGCTCACCAAAAATGTATGAGGATAACCATTTCTGCATGCATGTATCATAGGAGAAAATGATATTTCCTTGTTTATTTACTTTTGTTAATTAGAAGTACATATGAATATTTTTTCATCATATTTTTTCATATTTTGAGTTGCTTGTATTTCTTTGTGTGTAAATCACTTGTTCTTGTCCTTTTCTATTTTTCTTTTTGATGATTTTTTTTTTCTGATTGAAAGGAAAAAAGTAGGAAAATAATCTTGGTCATATATATTTCAGATTTTTTTGTCATTTATTCTTCAGTGGGCTTTATTGTATTTCTAGAGGGCTGTTTTTGTGTATGTGATTTTAATTTTTAATTAATAAATGAGTTTAATAATTTTGACTAATTTCAAAATAACAAGCAATTATACTTTGAGAAATCTTGCTTTCATCTACTTTTATCCAGTTCATTCTAAAGTAACCATATTTTTAAGTTCCCTATATATTCTTCTAGTATTTTGGCATCACAATTCAAGTAAATATGAGTATTCTTATTTTCCCCTACCTTTTTCTTTTAACAAAAGATTTCTTTACATTGTGTTACTGCTTTATTCCCCCAGTGGTTTTGTTTATATGCTAATATGTCTTGAAGATATGTTAGCACAGGAAACATGCCCTCCTTAGAGTTAATCATTTGCTATTACCAACAGTGTTGGAGTGAAACGCTTTGTACAGATGACATCTCATGTGCGGGCAGGAAAGGCATTTTCCTATAGGGATTTCTGGAAAAGGGGTAAATACAAATGGGATTTTGCTTGTTTGTACTTTTACTTCTGGATATTTATCAGTTTCATAAAAAATAGTGTCTGAATGTAGTTTTAATTTACATTTCTCTTAATGTGAGAGTGATGGAATCTTTTTCGTATGTGTATCTGATACTTGTAGTTACTTCTTTCTCTCCTGTTACTATTATGACATTTTTATATTTAAATCTTGATTAATAAAGAGTTCATCCTGGATCAGTAGAAAATATGGACCTAAAAATACCTCTTTTCCAGCATCTTATTAGAAAACTGATCTGACCCAGGCGTGGTGACACAGGCCTGTAATTCTAGCTACTTGAGAGTCTGCTGCAGGTGGATCACAAGTTCAAGGCCAGCCTAGGCAACTTAGCAAGATGATGTCTCAAAAAAAATCAATAATTAAAGGACTGGGGACGTAGCTTAGAGGTAGAGCGCTTGCCTACCATGTGTAACACCTTGGGTTTGATTCCCACTACCGCATTTGATCAATTAGTCAAGCTCTACTTTACCTTGCTAGTTGGAGATACTGCCTTGATAAGCTTGCAAATGTAAGCTTCTTTTTTGTTTGGGTCTGATTTAGGGCTTTGTGCTCTGTTTCAGTTGTTCTGTCATCTGTGTGCCAATCATCACATTTGTCAGTCTCATCTTTTCAGGTTTCAGATGATAGAGGGGAGGTGGTTACATCACTCAGAGGTCAGGTGAACTCCACAGTGCTTTCTAGGGTGCAGTGTTTACTTTGAAGTCTGAGATTCATGTCAAGTTCATTTTGGTGTTAAGGGTCATTTTTCTTAGCGAGCTCTCATCTTGTTCTTCTCTCATGCTGGGCTTGTCTTTTCAGTCTGATCTTGGTTGTTACTACTTCTGTGATAAACAAGTTCCCATTTTCCCCCAGACCTCAGGTGGCATTGTCTTTGGTTTCACTTCAGTTTAGCAGATTGACACTATGATATTTATACCAGCATATTCATGAATAGCTAATTCTGGGCAGAGACAGATTCGAATAATGAAATGCGCATTTCTTTTTATTGCTCCTTTCCAGGAGCAACAAACTGGCACTTCTTAGGCAAAAACATGGCAAAAAAGAAATTCACCTTGTTGGGTCTGCTGTATAAATTTTGGGACTATGCCTCACAGAAAAGAAGAGTAAGATCATAAAATGAGTTAATGAACTCTAGCTCTCTGGTTGTGCCAGAGTGAAGCTTGTAGCCACTGATAGTCCTTGGTGGTCTATATTACCTTCTCCATAGAAGGAATCTTACCCAGAAGGGAGCTAGAAACTGCTTGAGGAGAGTCAGGCATCCCTGTGTCCTTTTCCACCTCCTTGCCCTGTAGGAACACTGTACACGCACCTGGGGTGTTGAAATTTGGCACGGTGATTCACAGTTGTGATTTTTTGAATTCCAACCCACTGGCCTCATATTTCTTTTGCCTTGTTTCTGATTGTCAGCACTGGCCATCCTCCAGTTTGATTTTACCACTAATTGTGTTGCACGTTACCATACCAAAATGAATCAAATCAAAATGCTTTTCCTGGAGCATTAGATAAAGCAGGCGAAGGTTCTGAGTAATGAGCAGATGCTGCTAATGCAGGGACAGCGGAGACCTTGCCAGGACTCCATCTGCTCCGTGCTTGCTGCCTTTGGCCTCGAGCCATGGCATTAGGGAATGGCAATGTGTTGCAAACCCACTCCCTGTTCAGTTTGTCTTGAACACTCACTCTCTGGTGAAAAATGGGATTATACACTTCTTAGGTGCAAAGAAGTTCTCGTTTGTCTGCCTAAGTGGGAAGAGGAGAGATGAGGCCCAGTGAGTATTAGCATGTGGGACCTCAATGGGCAGCCAACAGTCCGCTTTCTGCCACCATCGAACAAGGCAAGGTGGCTTATCCACTCCCACAGTGCTTGCGGTGCAATTGTCTGAACACACACAGGCCCCATTGTCCAGGTCTGAGTCTGCCGGAGAGCCTAAGTGAGGTGATTTCTCATTTGCTGACATTTTAACAATGGGTAGGAGTGAATCTTCCAAGCTTCTTCTTTAGCAGTAACCAGTATGACCAAGTTTTAGTTAACTCTGAAGACTCTGCACTTGTAATCTTACTTTTAATTTTTAAAAATAAGTTTTTCAATGGTTTTGTCTGTATCTCTTATTGTTGATGACAACTGAATGCAACGTACAGTTTTCTCTCCTCTTTGACCAACGTTGAAGTGTTAGAAGCAGATTATTAACATGCTCAAGACTCACTT